TTTTTTTTTTTTTTTTTTGCTTGAGTCTTTTTGTTGTTAAGTTGTAGAAGTTCTTTATATATTCTGGTTGTTGAACCCTAACAAATAGTTGATGTCCATCCGAGTACCTTCTCTCTTTCTGTAGGTAATATGCCTCTTTATAATGTCCCTTGCAAACAGCTTTTCATTTTGATGACAACTGGCTTTTCTTTGTTTGTCTTCGCTGCTATACGTTTGGTGCCATAGCTAAGAAGCCCTTGTTTGTCCCAGTCATAACCCTTTACCCCTGTTGTCCCCTAGGAATTCTAGGGTGTTGCACTTTGTTAGACCACTGGTTCGTTTTGAGTTCCTTTTTGTAATGGTGTGAGGTAGGCAGCCAGCTTTCTTGTTTTGTGGCGATCTAGTTGTCTTAGCTCCATTGGTTGAAGAAGAGTATTCTTTCCCCAGTGGATGCATTTGGCCCCCTTATCAAAAATCACTTGCACTGAAGATAAGAATTTACATCTGGACGACACTATGCTGCTGATGACCCGATTACTGTAACTTTTGAAAGCCTCCGACTTTGTTTTTGGTCGATTGTTTTGTCTGTTTGGGGCCCCTTATACTTGAAATGAGCTAGAGAATTACCTTTTCCATCTCTGCACAGAAGACTGGTGGAGTTTGGATGGGGGTTGTTTTGAATTTGTAGATGGCATCTTAACAGCATTAAGTCTCCTAAGATGTACATTTGATGACCCAAGCTGCCCTCCCTGCTTTCTCCCCCAGAACATCCGGTCCCTGATGGCTGTGGAGAAGACCAAGGGTTTCTGCCAGTTGGTGGTGTCCTCCAACCTTCGGGATGGCACGTCCCACCTGATCCAGTCCGCCGGGCTTGGGGGCATGAAGCACAACACAGTGCTGATGGCCTGGCCTGATGCCTGGAGGCAGGCTGACAACCCCTCCTCCTGGAAGAACTTTGTCGGTGGGTGTGACCCTGGGACTGTCCAGATGTGTGGGATTGGAGATTCAGGTGGTTGGGGGGATGGTGAGCTGGTGGTGTGGGAGACCCCTTAGCATCTGTCCAGGGTGGGATCTGTAGGCTCCCGCACATCCTCCACACTGTACCACGTCTGTCCACAGACACTGTCCGGGACACCACGGCGGCGCAGCAGGCCCTGCTGGTGGCCAAGAATGTGGATCTTTTCCCTCAGAACCAGGAACGCTTCAGTAACGGCAACATCGACGTGTGGTGGGTCGTGCACGACGGGGGCATGCTCATGCTGCTGCCTTTCCTGCTGCGTCAACACAAGGTGGGGGGCCTCTGTCCCGGGGGGGAGGGTCTGTCACACAAGGCCTCTCACAGGGGGGCGTCTGTCATACAGAGCATTTGTCACATGGGGTGTCTCAAAAGGAGGCTCTCTGTCACATGGGACTTCTCATGGGGGCGCTCTGTCACATGGGGACATCTATGACACAGAACATCTGTCACACGGTGTCTGTCACATGGTAGTATCTGTCACATGGGGATTTGTCACACAGGTCACTGGTCACATGGTCTGTCATACAGGTAGTCCTGACCCAGGGTGTCTCCTGACATGGGACATCCGTCACACAGGAGTCTACATCATGCTGAGGGGATCTGTCACATGAACGGCACACCTGTTACATGGGGGTGTGGTAGGGACAGAAGAGTGGGAAGCAGAGGGGAGCCGGTTCAGGGCAGGGCGGTGGGCACTGGCCCGGCGGGGAGAGAGCAGCTGTGGTTCTGTCCACCAGGTGTGGAGGAAGTGCCGGATGCGGATCTTCACAGTGGCCCAGGTGGACGACAACAGCATCCAGATGAAGAAGGACCTGCAGATGTTCCTGTACCACCTGCGCATCAGCGCCGAGGTGGAGGTGGTGGAGATGGTGAGCGCCCCCGGCTGCGTGCTTTATCAGACTTGTCATGGGCACTGGGTGAAGGTCCCCAGAGCAGATCATCAGTAATCCTTTCAGCAACTCAGAGATATTTCGTTTAGGTCATTAATTGTAATTCCCACAATGCATGGTCACAGCCCCCACTTCCTCACTGTAGTTCCTGTTCCCATTCCTCTGTCAACTCTGTCCCTTCTGAACTTTGTTACTGGGTCACCGCTGTCCTTTTGATCTGAAATGATTGATTCTTCCCAGCTGTGAGAGTCTCCCTTTTATCCTGAGAACTGAGCCACAGGTGTGAGTTCAGTCCCCGACCTGAAGGGTGACGGAGGGCCATAGTCTTGGGGTTCTACCAGTCTCCATCTATGTCTTTTATCATTTTGAGTTTTGTTCCCCATTTTGCCCCATTCTCTCTAGGTCCTCCTTTCAGAGCAGTTGGTATAGTTGGTGGGCGCCATCTAGTTCTTCCGGTCTCAGGTCATGGAGACGATTGTGTTCCGTTAACGCCGTTGGACTGATGGTGTCCACACAGCTTCGGTTTTCATCTCTCTTCTTTCCACCAGACGGGAGAGACTAATCAATGGTGGCAGCGGTGGTTGTGTGCGGATGAGTTGGTTCCGACCCATAGTGACTCTGTTTATAGGCTTTCCAAGGTTGTAAACCTTTATCCCACCACACATCTGTCAGTTTGTCAGACTGTGACGGCTTCCGTGTTGCTGTTTTAAATAGCAGCAGGGTCACCCATGGTGGACAGGTGTCAGTGGAGCTTCCAGACTAAGACAGACTAGGAAGGAGACACAGATGACTTCTGAAAGCTTTGGCATTGCAGTGGAATAGTGTCAGCTAGAGTGCCAGAACTGAAAACACAACCGGGGAACAGCTGTCTCCTTGAAGTAGAGTTGACCATGATGATGCCTTCAGGACCTTCATTTGCTGATGGGACACAACTCAAAATGAGAAGAAACCGCTTCAGATATCCGTTAATAATTGCAACAGGGAATGTTTGGAGTATGAATCTAGGAAAATGGGAAGTTGTTAAAAATGAACTGGAACACAGAAAGATTGATATCCTAGGCATTGGTGAGCTGCGGTGGGCTGGTCCTGGCCATTTTGAATCAGACGGTCACATGGTTCACTGTGCTGAGAATGGGAAGCTGAAGAAGAATGGCATCACAGTCGTCATCAGAAAGGACATTTGAAGATCTGTGTGAAGACACATGCTGCCTGTGATAGAGTAGGATCAGTACATCTACACAGGAGCCTGCAGACCCAGTGTGGTGCTGTAGGGTAAGCATTGGACCACAAGGTTTAAACCAACTGGTTCAAACTCACCAACCGCTCCTCAGAAACCCTACACAGGGTCACCGTGAGTCAGAACTGAATCCGTGGTATTTAACAACAACAAAACACAAAGAAGACTAGTTCATACCACTGGTATTCAGAATTACACACCAACCATTACAGTGATGGTGAGATTGAAAATTTCTGATCTGGTGCATAGGATCAGCACTGAACTGTGAACCACAAGGTCAGCAATTCAAACCTACCAGCCGAGTCAGAACCGGCTCAGCAGTACTTAACAACAACAGACAACTTTTCAGTAGGCTATTGATCAGACATTGTTTCGTTGTGCTGTACATGGGGTACAGTTTCGACTCGATGGCACCGGACAACAACAACAACTACAATTGATCAAACATGTGGTCAAGATGTGTAGATAATTACTGGTGATTGGAATACAAAGAGGAAGGATCAATAGTTGGAAAATATGCCCTTGGTGATAGAACCGATGTTGGAGATCGCATGATCGAATTTTGCATGACGAATGACTTCTTCATTGTAAATACTGCTTTTAAACAACAAGGTCCTGGTGTGGTGCTGTGGGTTAATGCACTGGACTGCAAAGTCGTTTGAACTGTAAGGTTGGTACTTCAGGCTTACTAGCTGCTCCTCGGAAACCCTATACGGGGTCGCTATGGATTGGAACCCACTTGATAACACAACAACCGCAACAACACAATGACTTCTCCATTGCAAAGACCTTTTTTAAGCAACATAGAAGATGACCATACACATGGACCTCACCAGATAGAATACACAGAAATCTAATTAACTACATCTGTGCAAAGAGATGGTAGAAAAGCTCCATATCATCCACCAAAACAAGGCCAGGGGCAGATTGTGGAACAGACCATCAATCACTCATATGTAAATTCAGACCGAAGCTGAAGAAAATGAAACAAGTCCATGAGAGCCAAAATCTGACCTTGAATATATCCCACCTAAATTTAGAGATTGTCTGAAGAACAGAAAAGGAAGACCAGAAGACGTGTAGGGTGCCATCAAGAACATCACACAGGAAGAAAGCAAAAAGTCACTAAGAAGACAAGAAAGAAGGAAAAGACCATAATGGATGTCAGAAGAGACACTGAAACTTGGTTTCTAGCGTACAGATGCTAAAGCAAATGGAAGAAGTGAGGAGAGGTCCAAGAGCTGAACAGAAAATTTCAAAGATCAGCTCGAGAAGGCAAAGTCAACTATGATAATGAAATGTGCAAAGACTTGGCGTTAGAAAACCCAGAAAAAAACTCTCAAGCATTTCTCAAGCTGAAGGAACTGAAGAAAAAATTCAAGCCCTAACTTTGCATTATTGAAGGATTCTCTGGGCAAATTACTGAATGATGCACAAAGCATCAAGAGAAGATGGAAGAATACACAGAGTCACTGTACCTAAAGGAAATGGCTAATGTTCAACCATTTCAAGAGGTAGCATAGGATTAAGAGCCAATGATACTGAAGGAAGAAATCCAAGGTGCACTGAAGGCATTGGCAAAGAACAAGGCTCCAGGAATTGATAGAATACAAACTGAAATCTTTCAACAAAGAGAGGCAGCACAGGAGGCACTCACTCATCTCTGCCAAGAAATTTGGAAGACAACTATCTAGCCGACAGATTGGAAGAGATCCATGTTTGTGCCCATTCCAAAGAAAAGTGACCCAATGGAATCCGGAACTCATCAGACAATACAGATATCCTATGTGAGTAAAGTTTGACTAAAGATAATGCAAAAACAGCACCAATAACGCATTGACAGAACTTCCAGAGGGTCAAGCCAGATTCAGAAGAGGACGTGGAACAAGGGTTAGCAGGGCTAATGTCAGCTGGATCCTGGCTGAAAGCAGAGAATACCAGAAAGATGTTTGTTGTTGTTGTTAAGTGCTGTTGAGTCGATTCCAACCCATAGTGACCCTGTGTAGGGTTTCCAAGGAGCAGCTGGTGAGCTTGAACCACCGACCTTGCAGTTCAAACGACTTTGCAGTCTGACGCATTAGCCCACAGCGCTACACCAGAAAGATGTTTTAGCTGTGGTTTATTGACTACACAAAGGTTTTCGATTATGTGGATCATGACAAGCTGTGGACAACATTACAAACTGTGAGTATTCCGGAACACTTACTTGTACTCATGAGAAACCTGTACATAGACCAAGAGGCAGTTGTTCAGACAGAACAAGGGACCACCGAAAGGTTTAAAATTAGGAAAGGTATGTGACAGGGATGTGTTCTTTCACCATACTTATTCAACTTGTATGCTGAGCAAATAATCTGAGAAGCTGGGTTCTATGAAGAAAAACGTGGTATCGGGATTGGAGGAAGACTCATTAACAACCTGCGATACGCAGATGATACAACCTTGCTTGCTGA